CTTCTCTCTCTCTCTCTCTGTTCTCATAAAGGCAATATATGTGTACATGGGTACCATTACATGTACTTGTGTCTAAATATATCAACTGATGTAAGTAAGAGTGAATATGAGTCGTGTGAGGTCTGAATATATAATATGAATTGTTTGAATGTAAATATACCATATATTGCAAAAAAATCTTGAATAAAAAGAAAATAACAAAAAAAAACCAACAAGAGTTTACAGTCAAATATATCAATACTGATACATTACGTTTCTTTTACATTACACGTTTTAAGCCACCAAATACAAGACAAGCTAAAATATGTACGTAAGAGGCTATGAGTAAATAATTTCTAATAGCATGGAAAAGATTTACTTTTGACCAAATTCCTGCACAAGTGGACAGCACGTGGGGGAACTGAGAACACTTAAGGTAGGAACTGGAATATAAACTTGATACAACCACTATACTCAGCTGTGCAGTGTTTGATACAACCGTGCTAAACTTAGCACATTCGAAACAAAAAGTTTTACTGTATTTCAAGGCATTTGTGAAAAATATTCAACTTTTTATTTCGAAAAAAGAAATCGGTTGAATATTTTATAAATAATCTTAATAATCTTTCTAATTGAGTGTTACTTACTTTAACAAAAAAAACAAAAAAATAATATTATATTACAATATCAATTCGTATTGGAAGATTTTTTTGTAACATTTCAGAATGTAGAGAACTTGTATGCAAATTACACTCTTAACTCTTTGTAGCACTTCAACCTTTAGCTTGCATTACAGGTTTTGCTGTAAAGGATTTAGACGCATATAGTAATAGCCATAACTACTCTGTTGACGATCCTCTATCACGGCCTTCCACATAACGTCGATTTCTTTATTTTTTGCAGGCATCACTAAATATTTACACTTTGAATGCTCTTTTTGATAACATTTCAAACCTTCTGGATGACTAAAAGTTAAATTCCCTCTATAATTATCAAAAGTGACATTTTTAACCATGGACGGGAGTAAGCCAAATAGGTAAAAATCATCAACCCAGAAGAAAGGTGACCCGATGGCCGCGTGGAATAACGCTGGTACTAGGTCCGTGGAAATAAACACGACAAAGCCGCTACAGTACCGGTGAGGATACATTGAATAAGATCTATAGTCATCTGGACGTACAAACCACTTGCTATTCCGTTTGCGGATGATCGGCATGGTATTGGGCTCAATTCTATTACAAAATATATGTTTCTTTTTAGGTACCAGTATGTTTCGCATCTCTTCGAAATATTTGAAGAAATTGATCAAAGAATCGTCGTCGACCTTAATGACCATTTCTGCATTCAAACAGTTTTCTGTGATCCAGCGGTAGCCCATCACTCCTTTATTGGTGAGATTACGATAGGAATCTATAAAACTTCCCTGTACAATGTCTCGGTGCATGTCGGATTCTTTCTCTATCTCGACCTGTAAAGTAGAGGTTGTTACAAGTCCGAGCAGAAAAACGACCCGTACACTCTCTGGACTGTAAAACGTCGTGTTAAGCCAAGTCCGTCGCATTTCAGAACGGATAAAGAAATGATCCGGGGCTGTATGGACCACCACAAGGACGGAAACCTTATCCACACCGCGACAGATATTTCTGTTGTTGATATTGTACGGCGCATTAACAGTGATAGCGTATACTGTTTTTGCTTTAATTTGGCGATTAACTATGTGTTCCTTGTGCTCATCATCATCGTCATTGCCGAGGATCCAACGTGCGAGCGTGTCTTTGCCAGTGGACATGTCAGTGGAGTCCATAACCACGTCTGGTCTGTAAATCTCGTGAAGAAACGTGACAGTAAGTAGAGTTGTGGCAACCAACATGCTAATTGAAGCAAATTTGGTATAAGCGACCAATCGATGCATCTTGCTCCCCTTAATTTGTTATGGATCCTTGAAAATATCACTTTAAGAAGCTGTCTGAAAGAGAAGCAGAAAACAGTGTTAAGTAAAGCAGAAAAAACAAAACACATGGCAAAAAGCAACAAGAGAATATCAGTTAAATTGGTTGGGTCATATCCCCTTCTATCAAGTGTTTTGGTCAAAACTCTGTAGCCACCTATCTCATCATGGTAGCCTGGAGGCTTGGTCTTGCACCTTGAGCCTCAGTCACACATTCAAGAGTTTTACTGCCGTCCTTGAAAGGACCACTCCCGATTAAAATTTGTCAAAAGTCAGATCAAGATCCTGTGATTCGTGGCGGGACATTCAAAAATTTGTGAAAACATTTATTTAATCACGACAACAATCAGATATTGTTCAGGAAGCGTCCCGATTCAGCCGTTTCCTGCCGAATTTGTCCCGATTCTCCCGTTTTCAATCCGAATCTGATCCGATTTGTATCTTCCGCATGGTAAAAAACGACCAAATCTGTCCCGTAAGCGTCCCGATTCTCCCGAACGCGATCCGACAGAGATCAGACAGTGACCGGACAGTGAATCGACGCATTCGGCAAGATCTGGACGCAATCTGGACTTAATCGGCAAAAAACGGCAATGAAAAAATTCTCCAAACTTGCCCGTTCATCGCTACAGCCTCCCGATCCACACGACATTGTCAAGACACCGTCCAGACAACACAGGATATTGTATTGTATCCGATACAGCAGAATCTGTCACGACATAGTCACGATTGTAATCTGACTAGACAAAATCGTCTGAGTTTTCCGAATGTTACGGGATGCACCTAACTGTCGGGAGTGCTTGGCCGACCTCTCCGGACCATTCCCATTCCGTAGGACTCGGTTACGAACGTATACGACTGCGTTCAGACAATGATAGGACATTCCAGATCATTGAGGATAGTAATCCGACTTTTTCGCTTTTCGTGTCGTAGCGCTGTCTGATCTCAACCGGGAGCCATAATCAGCACTGTGTGAGCGCCGCACAAAACGTCAAAACCTATATGTAACGCCAATTCAAAACAATATTTTCCCTTAAAGCAATTCAACGATTTGTCTCGTAAATCTGCTTGTGTTGTGTTCATCGCCACTATCCGTATCCAGGTTTCCACCACGGTAATTGAGAGATGTAGTACATCACATGATGGAAACCATCCCCAGCATCTGTATCTTGTACGTTAATCCCTTAAACTAGTTAACTTATTAATTAATCAGAAACTTTAGAATTTGTTAGTTTTTTTATAATATCATTATGAATTCCGAATCATGCTAATAATAATTTAAAGCAGAAATTCTCTTAATTCATTAAAAAAAAAAATATTATTAATTTTTCTAACAAAAAATATCTTTTGTGATGGTCCACAAAACCGTCCTCCGAACTGAATATCGATAAAACAACGGCAAAATATGTAAAAAGGAAAGATTAACATGGGGCTTATTGAAAATGTACAAGGTGTTACGGAAAGGTAAGCGTTTTCTGCTTCCTGGACAACACCCGCCATTTAAATCTAAGTCGAATCCAAGTAATGTCACGTCCTCCCATCGAGAACTTTGGTAGTGACAACAAAACCACAAGTAATGTCACGTCCCCACATCGAGAACTTTGGTAGTGACAACAAAACCACAAGACACTTTAATGAGTATTATCAAAACATCGGCCTTCATATCACACGAAACACAAACTCGACTCAATTCAAGGGCCAAAGGATGAATGAAGCAGAAGCTAATGGAACAGGAATTCCCGCTGTCCTTCGAAGTTACAAAGGCAATATTATATAGAAACATAAAAACACTATATAAAAAATTCTATTCGATTTGTTTGCATAGAACAGATACTTAAAGGAAGTATATTGAAGTGTACACACTAGCAAATATTTTTCAGACTTTTCATCAAAGTAGTATAATTTAAAGTGGAATTCTCATTGATATTTAGTATTGTCAAGCATTGTCAGCACGGTTATGATTGTATAAGGTATGTGGTGTATTCAAAGTATAAGTTCATTTATTAGTTAATTAACCAGCGCCATAACGAAATGATCTCAGGATTTCCAATGTCAAAAACTGCTACTACGTTTGAGGAATTTGGTACTGGCATGGCAATAGTTTTAATGAAAGAAACCAATGACTTGGGGAACTTTTATCAAAATATAATTAAATTAAATTGAAATATATGAAAAAATAGAAAACAAAGATGATATTAAAAAAAAAAAAAAAATGTTCCAAGAGTAAAATTGCAACGGACAGGACCAGTATTCGAACTCTGGTTCTTAAAACACAGAACAGTTGCTTCAGCCAAATGAGCTACCTGATATGCGGAACAGAAATACCCTGGCCCCGTTCCAATAAGATATATAGCGTATGTATGAAGAATTACATGGAAATTCTATGTTGTTCTGTCCGCCATGGCACAGGGATCCTTAAATTCCTTCGGCGTCTAAAGCTAGCATAGTTCACAATCATACCTTATCAAACGACGTATTGTTAGTTTTACAAGCGATAGCTGATCATCTAAGAGTATCTATACGAAAGCTACTTTTTTGCATGTACGTTGAATAATTCAATCAGCATATACTTAATCTAATACGCCCAGTTTTTGTTATCTCTTTCTCAAACAGATGGATATCGGGCAATTAAAGAGAGGAGATACGATGCATTCTCGATTTTATAACATTAACTGTTAATATTACGATTAAGGTGCATCCGTTAATTATAAGAGTACTTCCATATTCCTGATATCCTGAAGTTGTAATTATCTAACCACACAATCCTCTTCAAACCCGACCTCGATACGCTTACTTTCGCTCCGTGCACCCCTAAAATAGGTTATAGCAAAATTGAAGACACATAGCTAGCTATTTCATTGGTCTCAAGTAAAAATCTAACCAATCGCTAGGCTGATACTTGTCCTTTGAAGCTTACAGAGGAGCGACACCCGACTCCAAAGCCAGTCAATTTTACTATTATGCGACCGCGATATTCTTTTGATGTACATCAGAAGATGAAACTAGACATCGTGTCTCATCCACAAGGTGGCAAACACTGTTCGCTGACTGTTATCAAACTAACTCTTACCGTCTAAACACATTTACTGACACTAGCGTGGTTCATTCAAATATGGTTTTACCTACCATGTCAGCCCCATTTGTTCATGAAATCATACGTTTGAAAGATAAATACCAATACTACATAAACATGTATTTGCTTAAACCAGAATAACGTTTAAACTTAATTCATAATATAATGGTTGGCCAATCGTTTATTTGCATTGACAACACTGTTATATAATGATTCAAAATGAGAGAATGGCATTGTAAATAACGCTAAATGGATCTATCGGATAGTTGATGTTTTCTATTTAAAGCTTATTGTCCAATAACGTCTTTATTTGCACTTTGTTTTTTGCACTTCTTTATGATATCAATAGTCTCAGGGCCCTATGCAGATGTTATGTAATAAAAACAGGCTAGCTATATATACAGTTTAAGTGTGTCTAGAAAAAGAATTTTGTATTAATGGTTGGTATTCATACGAGATCAAATTTGGTCGAAAAAGGGATTTTGTTTTTATATGTTTTGCTTTTTTTTCACAGGTTAATTATTTTTCTAAACAATTTCTTAATTTAATAGCATAATCGAGAACGATACACAGCTGTACATTTTGCAACACATTATAATGATTTATCGCTAGTCCGCTTGCATATGTTAATAATGTTAAAAAGGTTAGGAAACAAGTTTTTACACTTGTTAACAAGAACATTGGAAGGACATCGGGAGGTGATCATTCAGAAAAAATAGCTTATCATCACATATCAACCTATTGAGCCATAACACGCAAACACAACACTTCAGTTTGTCTGTTAAAAACAACAGCAAAAGAACTACGAAGAGTCAACAAAATTGTAAATTCGAACTCAAAAATGATAACAGTAGAGCAAAATTTGGCCATGGAAACACTTACGCAGGGTACCTTGAAAATGACAAGGAGAATAAGACCAATGATAATTTGATACATTTTGTTGATGGAAATGTATTGACTACTGAACCCACATATGTTGTGACATGATATAATTATATTTACACCACCGACCCATTTTACGGCATTATTTGACGTTTTTGACGTCATCGGTTGGCAACGGACGTGATTGTTCGCTGATGCGACATGTCGGGGATAAAAACATCAAGTTTAAGTCGTACATTGAACCAGAACCTCGGAATAAGTTCATGCGGACATTCCACCGGGCATAACCAGCACACAGCTGTGTTTTTGACCTGCTTGAGGCGATAAAAGTCTCAAAAACCACAAATACAGGATGTCAATATAGGCCAGGGACCCTCGCGACCGCCATGTCAGCAAAAACCAAGCGAACGAGGAGGCTCGTCAAACAAGATCTAGGAGCAAGTGTTTGGACAAGAACGTAAACGAATACACCGTGCTCGCCGAATCCACAGAATCAATGTGGTTCTGCTCGCCATGTAGAGTTACAGTTGAGAAAGACTTTCACGCTCTCCAGATCGAACAGAAATGTGCGGAGATCATGGAAGTTTACGAAGAAAAAAATAAATCTCTGGAACGTCGGATTGAAACTTTGTGCACCGAATCCAAGGTCAGGAGTATAGTGCAAGAGGAATTGACGAAAGGGACAGTGAAATGCCCGGAACAGGCACATCAGTCCAACCATCCACGGATAAACCACCGCAGCAGGATGTCGATGTTATCGCCGAGATAAATGAGAGGAAGAGGAGGGAGACTAACATTGTTATTTTTTGGTTTAAAGAGCAAACGATAGACGACGATTCGGCCAGGAAGGAAGCAGACATTGTCATAATTAAGAGCATGCTTGCAACGTGCAAGCTTCAATATGAGGGCAAGGTACAAACAGTTATTCGACTTGGTAAATATGAGAAAACCAACGATAATGCTACACCATCTAAGGCTAGACCGCTGTTAGTATCTTTTGTATCTGTTGATGACAAGAAAGCCTTCTTTAAAAATATAAGGAACTTGAAACACGAGGAGAAAT